TGCTGGAGGACCTGGGGAACATCACGGGTCCACCGTGGGGAGACATCGCGAATATCCTCGAAGAATCCCTCCTCGTCCACAGCAAGTAGCTGACGCTCGTGGAAGCTCAAGGACCTCAAGGAGGATCGGTGGTGGAGGATGGCTTCTCGAAACCCTGGAAGAAAGCGAGGGAAGTTGGCCAGCTTGAGGTGCAGGTGCTGCAGACCACGGAAGGAAAGTAAAAGTTCCACGATGGCTATATAGACCAGTCGGTTATCTGATTCGTGGAATAGATCGCTGTTGATCTCGAGCCATTTTAACGGCGGAGGGTTCCCCGTCCGCGCCAATAAGCACAGGAAGTGCAGCTGATTGCCACATCGAAGCAGGCGCAGCTCCTGCAGCGACCGAAATGACAGAGCTCGCGTGGACGCTAATAACTCACTTGGAAAATGCACGTTCGAGAGGGATAGCGAAGATAGCGATGAAAACGGATTGGGTGGGTATGGTTGATGCGAGAGTTCTAGCCAGGGCTGAGTGAGCTCGGGAACAGTCAGGTGGTGATCCGCACCAGTCAGCAGGCACCCGATTTGCAGTTTGCGCAGATGGCTCTGGTTCTGTCGCAGGCATTCTCGCAGGATCTCGATCTCCGAGCGATGCCGAATGCCCTCCCACATTATCTCCGATAATGATGTCAATTTTGGTAAGCCTTCAAAACCCTGTCCTGCGTGCGGGCACGTTCCGTCGGTCATCAGCGAAACCCGTTTGATGTCTCTCTGGTGGTGGATCAGATATCCGTTCAAATCGAGTATACCCGTGGGCATGCAGGTGCCTAGGTGCCAGCTGTCTCCGTCAGTATGCATAAATGCCCAGGGTTGCTGTAGGGCCGCACCAGAACGAGTGAAGGGTGTCGGCTTTGAGCAGGGTGAAAACCTGGCGCAACTGAGCGGACAGCGCGGTCATGAAGGCTTCATGGGCGGTCGGCTGAGGTGGACTTCCCAGAACTGGCTGGCCGTGTGACACAGGGGCAAAGCAGGAAGTGGTGTGGTACATGCAGCGGCGGAATCTTGCGATCTGGATTGGAGCCTCTATAACGACTCGCCTGGCGAGTTGCAGGAGCTGGGCGGTCCGTGGGCTGCCATGTTGCCTGAAGAATGCACCAATGTTCAGATCATTCAGAGCCCATTCAGAGCCCGTGCCAAACCGAACCGATTCGTACACTCGGGGTATCAGGGTGGCGCGCAATCCTTTGGAAACCTGACTCATCGACCGAGTGGCATGTCTTGGTAGCTGATATATAATCAGCATCTGTATGGACGAGAATTGGAGAAGGCGATCGACGTACCAAATCAGTAACCATGTAGAGAATCTCTAATGGTAAGGCGTGCAACATGGTGGCTGGGCTGTGTGGCTTCCATCCCCGAATATGGGCTTCATTAAGCTTATAAAGGGAGCTATATATTTGCACAATATTTGGATATCATATTTCGTAGAGATCGGGTAAACGGCTGATCGGGGGATTGAAACTAGCCTCAAGACGGTGCATCACCGCTTAACCGCATCACTACGGTGAATCGGTGATTACGAAAAGGCATTGTGCACCGTCTCCGAGAAATATATTGGCCGTGGTGATTTTTCACTCTGTTACTGCATATACTGTGTGTATGCGGTTTGATCCGAGATAAACAATACCGACCGAATTTCATATCGTAAGTTCGGCTCATATTCAGCACAACGACAATAGAGTACTGGGTTTCTAAATACAGATCTTTGCGACACGCCCATGGCTCAGCACACCGGAGCTGGAATACCGATGAGTTTTTCCCAAGGTTTGAGCCCACCAAATAGCGATAAAACTGCGTCCTTCAATCAGATACTTTAAGGCGTCGGTTAGGCCTGGGCCCAGGTCGTGTTCTGGGGGCCGTTGGCGCGGCGCGACTTTTGCCCGGAGTGGGTATAGGAAAGCTTCGGGATCGCCTTGGCCGAAGCCGCTTCAGCCAGTCCTGACGCACTTGCTCTTGCGCTTTGGCTTTTTGAGCCCGTGCTTGCTTTTCGATACCGGACCGCCAAAGAGCCCACCATACCAGCTCAGGAGCTTCCTGGCGTGGCCCCTCTGTAAGTGGAATTGCGCATGGCGTTCGGATACGCCCTGCCGTGGATCTCATTCGTCGAGGACCCATGCCGTCCAGTGTTTGTAGAGATAGGCAATGTGGCACTGACTATGGAATGAGGGTGATGCGGATGCCACTTCTGCAAAAGCGGTTGAGAAGTTTACCCAAGGACTGTGATGACTATCCAGGCGTGCGGTTTATTATAATTGTTAGAACGAGTTTGTGTGCATTGAATTTGCACTGGGTGCGGACCACGTCCGGAAAGGTTTCACGGAGAGTAGTCCTAAATGCGTCTAGAGTACTTGGTCGCCCATCAAAAGCGAGAGGTGCTTTCATGGAACCCGTACTTGGCCCGAACTTTCTGCTGGGGACAATTTAGCAAGGGATTAACGCCTACTACAATGTAACACCCGCCTGGCCGGATGATGTTTGCATCGGGAATTCTTTGGGCCCAACAGTATTTTTAAAATGCCAGTAATTGCGGCAGTGTCCGCTACATGTCGGCTTTGCTGTATTGTCACTAAATCCTATATACTAGACATGATTACAAACACGTAGTTTGTTGTGCAAACTGAATGCCATTGTTTTTTCCCTGACTCCCAGTTGAATCATTAGACAAACTTTACTAGAGGAACGATTTTTGGAACGCACTAGCAGTGCAGTCCACCGTCAGATCCCCGGTCCGAGTTGTTCCTCAAACCTGGCCAGCCGCGGGACATTACCTGCCGGTCGACTTGCTCTGCCATCGGGTTTTCGCTACCCTCCGAACCCAAGGAGGCATTTAAGATCTCAATGTATACTGTCGTGAGGGGGCTATACCGGGTGACATTTGAACTGTCGTCTTCCAAAAAATATTTTGAATGCAATTGAATTGGTTGGAAGCAACTGTGATCAGGGGCGGGTCCTAATAGCCACTGCTAGCTTGGAACCCAGGGAGGAAATCCAGATACCCACTGACAAGTTTACATTTAATTTGGCCGTGTTCGTTCTTGTTTCAGACAGACTTGATCGGGGCAAATTTCTTTGCCTGGTTTCTTCGCATGTCACGGCCTAATAGTGTAACTACACCACACAGAGAACAAAACGGCTTTCTTTGCTATTGTGCTTAAAAGCCCCGTGCTTGAAAGCTGAGACTACGGGGGGCCTTGGAACCGAGACGAGGGTTCTGGACGTGCGACGTAGGTTTTGAGCACCCGTTTCATAAGGTGGGCCCAGCTGCATCCCCCGTCTGCCTAAAGGTTGCCAACTTGAAATTACCGCATCAGCTCGGTAAATTCACCGCTCGAATCAAGAGGTGGGGGAATACAGTTTTCGTCAGGCGTTCTACCAGAAAAAGTCCGGGTATGTGGACGCGAAGGTGGGCAGCATCGGAAGCCGGTCTGCAAGTGAAAAAAGTGGTTCTGGTGGTGGGCACTGGGCAGTTGCTCCGTGTGCAACTCGCGTGCAGTCCCCTCCCCTTTCGTTGATTGCCGGGCATTATTTTGCTCCGATGGGCACCGGGTCACGTACTTAGCAAAAGTCTACAACTATGTGCAAATAGGGATTCTATCCCGCGCAAATAACCATGTATGCTGGTCGGAAGACGGATGCAGTTAAAAGATACCCGGGCAAACGACGGGCATTTCTGACGATCCCCTAGTCCCACTCCATCTTGCCCCAGCAAATTGCTCAAGGTTGTGGTGGCTAATGGTGTTCGGGCGTGATATACTCGGGTATCTGCAATGACTTACTATCTATGCAATATTTTCATATCCTTCGGCTTCCTTTAATTACTGGATATCGTGTTCCTGTTTGCACGATGAATGTCTTCGGCCATAAAAATACTGAAATAGAACCGGTGTAGATGGCCTGCGGCGGAGTGCCCGACCTTGCGGACCCACCCGAAATCATTAAAACTGCCTGGGTATTCCTCCCATTCCCAATCCTAGTCAAACAGAAATCGCGGCGTCTTCGTTCTTCCATGTCGTGGCCATATTATCGATGACAGGACAACTCGATTGTTAACATACCTGCTGACCGGATTTTCTATAATCTGCTCTCGCCGGGGTTTCTTGCAGCTCTGGCGGCAAGCACCACCGAGCAACTGGCCTTCTTACCTCCCCGATGAGAGAGATAGGGATGAAATCTATAATCAGGCGCAGAGGAAAAACGAACGACGGAGAAAATTGTCGTTTAAGCCCGTATCTCGCCCACCGAATTTCAAGTCTCCAAGGCGGTGATTGGTTTCGTCAGGCCATCCTGGCTGGATTCACCATCTGCGACGCAGCCACCCGAGCTCTTTGTAGCACGGATAGCAAAACCACACGACACTAATGTCAGGAACGCATCCTTGCACAGGTAACAATAGGACGAGTTGACCGGTTGACGGTTGGAATATACCGCTGAGGCCATTTGTTTCGTGTCCCTGCAAAAATGTGACTCAAGTAAGCTGGCTGACTGCTACTTGACCAGCACTCTGACATATTCTGTTATCGACGCACTCGCTTCGGATCAAAAGCCTAAGACATACCCGGGCATCTGACCGCGCTGATTGCAAGGGATCTCTCTCAGCGATTATCCTACTTTTCAACTGGGCCTCTCTATAATTCTGAAGGGGAACATTATTCCCGTGGTGGAAAGCCCGTGTCCAATCACCGGAAATGGGCAAGGCAGATCTTAGAGCAATTAGGAGTACTTAGAAAACCCCAACAACAATTCTTACAACGAGGAGGCATTTAGTCATCTGGTAAGTGCTCATGAGCACCGCAGCTGGGGACAGTTCTGGTATATAAAGCTCAACGTCAACCATTCGCCGCCCAACCTCGGCTCCTCGTATCCAAACAGTTCACTTCTTTCCCTCCCTTCAAAGCAGATAAAGGCTCATTCATCCGCAAGCTTTACCCCAATTGCCTGGCCCGGATAGCTCGATCGAACATGTCTCGGCCTGTTGTCCATCGTCCGGAGACACCGACCCTGCCGCCAGCACTTCCTCCCAGCGTCTTACCTGAATATGCTGACGCACCGTCCGATTCCTCAGCCTCGACACCAGAGTGCCCGTGCTGTGCGCCGTCCCCATTGCCAGACCTAGAGGCTCTCGGCGAAGCTATCCAAGAATGCAGACTCGACACACTAGAAGGCCAGTTCGAGGGTTCTGTGAGCTTTCAACCGACAACTGAATTCAGTACCCAAGCTGTCGCAGTTGTCCCTCACGACCAACAGGCCAATGGCCACTGGTTGCTAGTCAACTTACTCTGTCATCGGGTATTCGATAAATGTGGAGATCGTTCTAGGATCCGAAATTTCAGCGTGTGCTATTATGGGAAGTTTGGCCCTGGTGACCTCCTGATGGCCGTCTCGCGAAAGATTACCTGGGATGGACCGACCTGGCTCGAGGCCACAGTCACTCGAGGCGGCATACCGGTGGCCACCGCAACCGCTTTGTACGATGAGATTCACTCAGACACTATGGACGACGCGCGGGTTCAGGAAGCCAACTAACGCTGAGCTATTGGGTATCTGATAGGATTTGCAATTTACCTGTTGCAAAAAAGAAAAATGGTGGATTTTACCTTTGGATGGCTGGCTTCTAGGCAGACTCGACGAATGTGCATGGAATGGATAGATAGTGAACGCTAAAACGATTCAACCTCAACTAATCAATACCGTTCACATATAACGCAACAAAAATTGCCCCTATCCTTTAGTCTTTTATATGATCATTAATAAAAAACTATACTCATTATCGTGTCGTGTGGGTGAAGTTTGATTTGACATAACATCAAGAGTCTTTGTACTTCCCCAGGAGCTGCAAGTATTAGGTAGACGGCATTTTGCAATAATTGAATCGACTAATCATCTGCCCAACACCAGGCACATCAAGCTCATCAGGCTTCAAAAAGAGCAACACAAATATAGGCGGTTTCTGGCTTTTCAGACAAAGGCCGCACTTGTGCCATGCGAGGCGAGCGAATTATGCTTATTGAACATAATACCGAACGAACAACCGCCTTGTCTCTGCCCATGGGCCCGGAGGGACCATATCATGCGGGAATCTTCCATCGTGCGTTATGGCGCATCTATCGGCTCCGGCCTTCAATAACTCGGCGACTGCCTCCCAAGATCCTCTTTCAATTAGTCTGTGCAATGCTGTGTAACCCGAATGGTCTCGAAAATTGACGTCCGCCCCGTTCGCAATGAGCAAGGAACATAGCTCTTGCCCCTGATATCCAAAACAGTCCTGCCCGACATGATGCAGAGGTAGCCGCCCCTGGCTGTCTCTCAGGTTTACCAGAGCCCCATACTCAAGTAGCATAGTGATCAATCTGACATATCCCCTTCGCACGGCAAGAGAAATAGGCGTCAACCCTTCCAAATTCTGAAAGTTGACATGGGCCCCCAGGGATAGAAGGGCCTGGACGCATTCTTCTCCGTTTTGCCGCTCGATCCCCATCTGTCCCCTGCTTCGGATAGCACTGTAAATCGGTGTTTCCTTCATCGTCCCTTCAACAACATTCACATTGACCCCTTCGCTGACGAGCCAGTTCAACATATCCAGACTACAGCTCAATGACGACGCGGCTAGGTGCAGTGCTGTTTGACCCTCGGCGTCTCTCGCCATGAGGTTGGAACCGCTCTCGAGGAGTGTCTGCGCTTGTTTGATGGCCCCCTTCAAGATTGCGAATAATAGAGGAGACTTCTGCTCAGAGTTCACAGCATTGACGTGGGCTCCGTGGCTGATGAGGGCCCGGATAATGGCTGTGTTATCCTTCCTGCGGTTTCGCGGCTTTGTCGCAGCATAGAAAAGAGCAGTCGGCCTTTCTCTATACTGGTGCGTTCCTCTGAAATTCGGATCGGCACCATAACGTAGCAATACGCGCACCGCGCGTACGCACGAATTGGCCGTTGCTACCTGGAGTGGTGTCATTCCGAAGTCATTCCGAGAATCCACTGGCACACCAGCCTTGATCAACATCCAAGTTATCGCCGGAGCTGCGTTATTCGAAGCAGCGACATGTAAGAGCGTGTTTCTGTCCCTCAAGGTATTAGGGTAAGCCCCATGCTCCAAAAGCAATGCCACTTTGGATTCCTGGTTAGTCCGGATTGCCTTCGTCAGTGGAGAACGCTTCTCAAACGCCAAAGCGTTCGGCCTAGCACCGGAATCTAGGAGAGCTCTGGTGATCGCCATGTCGGTACGGCTACTGGTTGCCACAGACAGTGGCCTTCGGGCGCGCAGGTCGGCAGCGTCTGGCAGCGCTCCATTCCCCAGGAGAAGGCGCACAACATGGGTATGCTTATGCAATACAGCTTCTATGAGTGCTGTCGACTGAACCTCATTGGGCGATCGAACGTTGATGTCAGCGCCTACATCCAGCATTCTGCTTATCCCACGGTCGCACCCCCAGACTGCGTACCATATAAGGGCTGACTCTCCGTCAGATGTGATATTTCTTCGATACAGATCGTTGATGAGGATGTTAAAGAGGTTTTTGTTACCTCTCAAGAGGCTGTACAGGTCCTTTATCGACGCCAGCTGGTCCGCAATGTGCGATATAATCTCAGGCGGAAGAGCGTGAAAGGGCATTGTGTAGGACTCTCCTGTATGTCCGTAATTGGTAAGCTCGCACTTGGTTTCATAAAATTAGACAAAGGTGCTCGCTCTCACCTCATTCCCGCACCGTAGTCCACAACTACTAAAGTACAGACCCGCCCGAAATTGCATTCCTTATCTTGTTGTAAAGAGACCCAGTTTCCGAACCCTAAAAGCGGGCGCTAAGTTGGAGACTTTGCTATTCTTGGCTAGCTCATGGCTGTGCTACCCAATAGATGTAGTTAGGCGTGGTTAGTAATGAAATTAGGCTCTCGGGCTTAGGGTTCGAAAAACAACATAGGTATTTATGGTATGGAATGCAGTTTCGCGCGGTTCTGTAACACCCAAAACGTGCTGAGATAACAGCCAGGCAGTTATATATTTCGTTGAGACCTCACACTTGCTAGCAGTAGTCTTTCATAGCACTAGGTTTCTGTAGGCATGTATATTCTTTTCACCGGTGTGCTGGGCGTAAAAAAAGGAATTAGATTTTCCTGTCTGCCGTTCGAGGGTTTAGAATACACGAACGCTACACCGAGGAACTTCTTAACGCTCCATTTTCTATCACGGTCCCACTGGTGGATTCGGCGATAAGTTGGGGACCCTATCTAACGCCAGAGACTATGACCCAGGGGCGTGTTGCGCCTTTTGCACGCTCCTTTAACATGGGACACAGATAGTTATGGCCGGGCATTTTGTGTGGGCATTTACTTGATGTGCTGTACAGGAATAGGAATGGCTTCGCACTAGGATTGATACACGCTGCAATCATTTTTGGATCTGCTCATTATATCAGTTGCTCTACAGGACCCCGCGGCCGGTATTGACAGACAGTCCTGAACTTGCTCGCCCCAATATACTTTCCAGTTTGTGGGCTTATAAGATACTCGGGCAATGCTCATATTGCCAGGGAACAGTGACCAGACATATAAAAAGGCCCAATCAGATGCGCCCATCACGAAAGGCATTGGCTTGTATAGGAATTGCCCGATGGTGGCCATCCGCTGTTGCATAGTCGCAATCGCAAATACGATTAGCATTGCTATCGCCAAAGCATGTTCATGAGGGCTATTTCACTTGGTTCACTGGGCATCTACTAGCCACACCCTACGCTTATCATCCACAGTAGCACGCTTTCCTGCAATAACAACCACTCGATCATCATATCACTTTGGCTTGTGGGTCGACGATTGCGCTGGAAACTACGCGACAAGCGACAGCAATGGGACAGCAGAAGTGAGGGAGCTGATTCTACGAGCACTGTCTGTATATTTTTTAGCGTCTAACGGCCGTGGTAATTGACGTATCCCAGGGGCTGTCGCTACTCCTGTATTTCGAGCCTGAAGTGAAGCTGGCCGTCCACTCTCGCGTTTGGGGAGCCGCTTAAGAACTATGCAACCACTACGGCAAGCTCAGGGGCACGATCCCGTGGGGAGTATGAATGGAAAAAGCAATGGAATGTGCCGAGTATGGGAATGCCTCCATCCCGGGTATGGTAAATCCTCCATGATCACGGATTGTCGAGGAGTATCCATCCAGAACTTGCATGCTACAGAAAAGGCGCTGCATACTGTGTAGCAGAATGAACAAGGCTGGGAATGGCCAATCCACATATGCTTCCTATTAAATGAGGCTCTAGATTCCTCGTGCCTTCCTATTCCAGGCCCAAATGCCTGCGTGCGTAACGCATGTCCGCATCCGAGATTTGTTTTCCTCGCTGTAGATATAACATTATGTCCTCCATCGTAGCGGATGCCGTTCTTACCCGCCACACCCGCCGCCCCATGAACCGTTTGACCTCATCCACAGCATCCGACTCGAGATGGGGGAAGACACCGATGAGCTGGTTGAGTGTGACGGGTCTTTCGTGCGACAGCCCAGGCCAGAGCGACCGCCACCATTGTCGTTCTATTCGCATCGCCGCACTCCAAAGCCGGTCGGTCGTAGTGTAAGGGTATTGTCCGGCCGGGTCCCAGACATCCCATAATGGACGGAGTCCGCGACTGAGACTCCTACGCTGTGGACTCGATACACCTAAGAGCCCTGGCAGTATATCCGGCGTGACGATGTGACGAAGCGTGCGATGCGATCCGGAGGCAGCCGGTTTTGGGCACTCCATCATGAGCCGATTGTGCTCCACCGCCCACTCGGCCAGTGCCATCTGTGTCGGACGGAGATCAGGCACCACACGCTGCAACCAGTCCACGGTGAAAGGCCCGTAGATCCGGAGTCGTGCAAAGGTCACCTCTTCGTACGTGAGGCCCCACATTCGTTCGACCAGCGTGGCCAACGTAAAGGAGGGATCCTGAAAGGTCTGAGCTTCGTCGATCCACAGCTGTGCGCACTTGAGCTGTGCTGGGGATAAGCTTGGCAGCACCGTTCGGACATGATCCAGCACGAGTGGAGGACGTAGGCTGGCCGATAATTCTGCTGGGGTTTGCGGAGAAGCTTTCATTGTCATGCGCAAAAGTCAGTCCAACAAACTCCAATACAGCATCAAGGGGAGAACGTCGCTTGATTTAAAGCCCTCAGCCGGCCATAGTACGGGTAGCTATGAGAGCAAGGGAAGTTTCAATCTTTGATCTACATGGCCAGAAGCTTAGCTATAAGAACGCATTCTAATATCGGGATTACTCGCTGCAAAGGGCATAAAAAAGCGGGCTTTTCCAAAGACCATCTTTTCATGGACCAAGAACGCAAAGATCCTTGCCCGACTTCCTCGCGCGTGCAACCGGGCCCCTGGCCAAGTGCGCATGAACACGGCAACGGTTTTCTGTTGAATGCCCAACAGTAGAGGTAGCATCACCAGAACAAGAGTCGAGGCCATCCCCATCGGAATGCAAATTGAATATCTCTCTGTAAGAGCTCGTACCAAATCGGCACCCTTGGCCATCCCATTTGGGGCTTCAGATCGGTGATGAATGTTCTATTAGATCCTTTGAATCTGCTGTCGAGTATCGCTCAGCTCTGCGGGCCCAATGGCGGGCTCGCCTCTGCTGCCCGGTCGTGGTTCTCAGCTTTCGCATTCCCGGCTGAAAGTGTACGCAGTAGTTCCAGTCTCTGGTACCAGTTATTGCCCCATGAAGTAATCCTCGAGACTTGTCTCACTAGCATAATGCTCCCCAATCACGGTACACCTCGATATCTTTCTGCCGTTCATTGCCTGCAAGGCGTCGTGTCGGACTTTTCTGTCACTATGTGCTCCATTGTTTAACTGCGAAAGTCGTCGAAATTCCAAACCACAATTGTCCTCTCCCCAGCGCAGTGAGAGCTTTGCCTTGACATGGGCGTCAATTACTGGACAATGAAGATTAACCGCACCCCCCCCCCCCCCTCCCCCTTGGAATACATATACCAACTACCATACGTAACTACCCTATTAACGAACAGATTGTAAACTGCTGGTGGAAACATGTGTTGATTGTGGGAGGATTTGTTTGCAAGAGCCTGCATCTGCCCATATTCTTCCGATCTCAATTGCTCCAGTTAAAGCAGGCCATGATGTATCTCAATAGGAAGATGGGTCTTAGACCTAAAGATATCAAGATTTGTGCCGCGACGTGACCGGCAGGGCGTTAACCTGTCGTTTTGAGCCAATCCCATAGGTGACTTTGGCGTCCAAGAACCTTCAGAGACGGCACTGGCGGTAACGTGATGTCGGCCGCACATAGAGGCCCATAATCCGCCGGTGTTTTGTGCACAGCCGGTTGGGGTCGTTCCCGCTGAATCCATCAATATAGAATCTTTTATCAGGCAGCCGGAAACTCACAATGTCACGGTCAGTTGGGGCAGGAATGTATGGATGTGATTGATAAGTGTAGATCCGGCCATTTGGCATCTCCAGTGTGGTCCAGCTGCGGATTGCGTACAGCCGCCAGAAATCATTGTGGCGACGGAGAAGGTTATTACGCCGCTTGCGGATTTGTTCCTGCTTCACACGATTCTGTGAAGACACCATCTACACATACCGCAGATTTATCGCAGGGTGGAAACGAGTGCACGAGAGTCCGGGCTATATAAATTCATAGCATTGTGGTTGTGTGGGGGCGGCTACCAGCCCGACAGTAATGGTTGTCTAGTGTCTAGGCATCTCGAAGATTTAGATGCATGCGGGTTAAATCGAAAGCTTCACTGTGCAATCAAGGAACGAAAGAGGTCGAGTGGGCTCTCCCCAATTTTACCCTTTCAGTAGGATATTGAGGCCGGGTGGCTGGCGGTCATCTATACCAGACCAACTGATTAACCACGTCTGTCGACTCTGACACTAAGAAGGCTGCTACGCATGCCATCCATTCTCATATGACCGGTGCCGGAGTATGGAAGGCAACAGATTTAACCCCCCCCCCCCCCCCCCCCCCCCCCAATTGTGCTGGGTTCAAATCGTGGACGCTAATAAAATACGATCACCAACAAACTCCTTGCCGTAGAGTTAAACCCATTTGACAACTACCCAGGCAACACAGGTTCGAGTGCCTTGTATATTTCATCCCGTCGTTTGTGACACACCCTAAGAGTTTGCTACAGGGTTCACCTGCATATTCCCATTTAACCCCCTAGCAGGCGCCGTGTGATCCAGCCTTGGCTTCGGGATCCGACTGAGGATAGCCTCCCCTATCTATCATGTGCCGTTATACTTATCAATTTGACTCACAAACTATCCGACATGTTAATAAATCCTAGACTATTATCCTAGCTCAAGACATATGTCGCCCGGAACTCAGCATCCAGTTCCCTTTGCCGGTCAAACACGGTATATAGAGATGCTTTTGGAGGTGGATTACATGCCTTGGACGTACAACGCCATAGCCAGCATAGCTCATTGGACCTTGCTCGCAGGCTATCTCATAATCCCTGGGACGTTCACGGCTCTACAGAAATCTGGTCAGGTCCAGGACGTTCTGGCAAAGGACCAAGTCGGACAGGCAGTTCTGAACACAATCCAAAACCCCCCACTTTTGGCGATTGCCTGTATTCTGTTTGTTGCGTCTACAGCAGCACTGGGGTGGCTCTACTGGGAGTGGCGTCACAATTACATCTGGCTCACTAATCGGATCTTCACGTAAGCGGCCCTTCCCTTTCCCGCATTGCGTGAAGCGACGAGACTGACCCGAGCCCAGGCCCATCATCATGAACGCAGCTGCTGGGCTTGCCACCACTCTCATCAATATCTACACCGCGCGGGATGGCGATTGGTCTATTATGGCTTTAATCACCACTATCATAACCGGAGTCACGCTAGTGACATCCTTCTCGCTGGCGATGGTATTCAAGTTCATCAAACTCAAAGAGGTACAAGAAGTCCATATGCGTGAAGTGTATCTCGGTAGTCCGGAGCGAAGTACCTGAATCATTGGTCTCAGTGCGTCTACCAGCAAGCGTACGCACCAAGTCTGTCTATTTCCAAAACTCTGTATTCCTATTTTATACAGCGCATGTCCCGTAGCTACGTTGGTTGCCACAGCGGGACATGTAATATCAAGTCCATGGCGTCAATGCTTCAAATTAGTAAACCTGTAAATAGAAGGCCTATGCATATAGCATACTGCATTCTCTCGGGTGATCATGCTCGATGGGATATTGAAGATGAGGGAAATAGGACCGGTGTTTTTGCGCGAAACAAGGCTGACTCTGGCAATGCTCGATGGATGATTTCCGGACTGTCGCAGTGGAGAACTCAAAAGCTCCTAGCGCTGCCGGGTTTGAATTGATCACAATTGTTCGTAAGTATGTCCCTGAGTACTGGGAGAGGTTAATACGAATCCTTGGGTTAGCGAGAGACTGGTACTGGAATTGGGAGTAAATCTGATGTGGGCTTTGCCTTATGCCTACCACGCTGGCACATCTACATGCGGCGACTGACCGCCCTACGTTGAAAATCGTCCTTTGTATCCTGCCAGGGAGCTAAATTGATTGGTTCTGTGGGCTTGGTGACGCACGATGGAAACAAGAAAACTGGCACATTGACGGCTAAATAGAAAGAAACGTGACTTTAAGGAATTGCTGGCACTTCTCTTCCCTGGGCACAACTCAAATAAAAAAAAAAAAAAAAAAAAGGAAACAAGATTCGTAATAATATGATGCGTCGGATGCTTTTGTCTGGCTATTGAGGATCACTCGATGAGAGCACAGCACTCTTCCAGAACTAAGCTCTTCTACATCCATCGAAAGCTGAGCGTCGTGCGGTATGAAAGCGACGCCATTTTGCCAGGAACGTCTCCCCAAACACAAGCCTTAATCGCCTTGCAATTGATCTCGTCCTGCTGATAACAACAGGGGGAGGATGTGGAGCCACGCAATGAAGATATGAAGAGGGGTGCTCTGCGAGAGAACAAAGAGCTCATACCCATCACACTTCCACAGCCTGAGCCTATCAAGGACTAGAATATGACATTGGCGGGATGTAGTGGGTGCTCATCGTTGCAATCCATGGCGGATCTATATCATGAGAAATGAGGTCCCATGCAAGTGCTTTGATGGTCATTGTATCGCACGTCATGGATATACATCACACGTGCTCCAAAACACAATTGCCGCGCTTCTAGGGGAAACTTGCAATTTTTTGCCCCAGTAATCTCGTGTTTTCATTATTGGGGACTTCGCTGGTTACCCGGATATGCAGATGTGTGGCTGCCCATTGCCTGCCAGTCACTCCAACCGCCTTCACTACTGGAGACCTGCGACAACTGTATGGTAGTCATCAGAATTCCGCGTACGGTTTGCTCTCCCAATTGGGGGAGAAGTTGGGAAGCCCCTTGCGGCATCCACCTCCGAGTAGCGAGGCACTCTCAACCCATGGCGGAACGACAACGTGGTTGTTAGAAGCATTCGTGCCTGCACGAAGGATCTTAGCAAGAATAAACGGGCGGGACGGGGCATAATACCTCTTGGGATAAGGCCCAAGCACGACATAACACTCCTATCGCCGCAACAGTTAGCAGAAGGCCGGAGAAACCAAACATGCCGTAGACTGCACAAACAAGACGTCGCTGGGATTGGGAGTTCTCGACAGTGTGTTGGGCCAAACGGAGGTAACCAGCGGCGACGCTCATATAATTCACGGCTGACAGAATCGGCATGGCGTAATGGGCCGGCTCATAGGCCAGGTGACTGACGACGATGACCACCACCTTGGTGATATAAAGAGCGCATAGCAAGATATAAAATATCCTGGCTTCGGACAAGGGTTGTGGTACATCAGAGAAGATGAAGTGAAGTCGGAGATACTAAGGGTTCATTAGCGATAGTCCATGGATATACCCTACCTGTCTTCGTGCATAGCCACTCACTTCTAGAAGCGGAGGGCAAAACCCCGCTATAGATGTTATGATCTCTGCACCTGGCACAAAATTGTCAGCGATGGTTTCCTGTAGCCTTCATTGATGAGGACTCAACCGAGCAAACGATATTGGCTCCAACGGAGCGCTACCACTGCAGCGAGGAAGGCCGCAAGCATCGCCGAGGATGCGGCATCTAGGCATTGATAGAACGGGTGCTGTTGGAACGTGCGACTGGACAACACGGCACGGGTTGTCGCCAAAAACAGCAGTATCGTAGCCAAGACGGCATGGACGGTATTTGGAACAGCCATATGCGGTGGACTAAGTTACGAACTCCGTCAGTTGCCTACCGAGTAGACTCTAATTTCACCTTTCTGAACCAGGGTCTCCTTTATATCCGCTGTCTCGGCTGGCTTTTTATCCTGGAATGACTAGCGTTACTGTACTTTCGAAATTCTACCACACCTTTCCAGACATAGCCCAGTCTCGCTCATTTCTAAAGCTAGTTTCCTTGAGCATTGCACGTAACATACTGACAATACATCTCCGATCGTCGGACTCTCGGAGATCCTGGGATTTACCTGTCAACTCACAGGAACAATAGGCGTTGTTACCGGGCAAACGAGTAGCCACAACGAACATCACTCTAACGTAAACAATTGGCCCCCTGAGGGGCTGCAGCCCATCGGCCCATCACTGAGCATGCACAGTGGATCAAGGCAATTTCTGATAGTCCCCGGTCGTGGCGTTTTTATGCGTCATACGATAACAAACATTTAGATTCTATTTACAAGCAGTAAGTCAAATATGTCACAAAGCCTTTTGAAGAGAGAGAGAGAAACCAAGATCATCTACTCATACGCTTAGCCCCAATGAAAAGCTCCTCTGAGCTAAATGAAAGCACCAGCTCTGACGAGGAGTTTCTGGTGGCACCTCCTTTCACGACTATAGGGAAGTCCATACCATCCATATCATGGCTGAATAGGCAGCTGGAGAAGGGCGGCGATAGCTCTGGCATGAGAGGTAAAGGACATCACTCGAGGGGCGAACAGCCGTATGAAGCCAGAAATGCTCTGGGCCAGGACATTCCCCATTCAGCGGATTCTGTCCGTCGGGTTCCCAGCGAAAGTGAACAAACCGCCCAGTGAGTGCCAACAATACTCCGTCGTATGCATTCCCTAACCAATGCCCTGCCGGTCTTAGCGATAGGTTTCATAATGGTACTCTAGTTCCTAAAAGGCATTCTACTAGAGCGGTTACGCGCTCACATGTCAGCGCGTATATCGATTTTACTACTGACGCGCCAAAGCTGAGACACCAGCTTGAACGAGCTAGAGGTCGACGACACTTGCTGGATCAGACGAACCAACAGTGCAATAGGGAGTACAGGGCGCTTTCTCGCGAAATAGAAGAGCTCTTAGCTCTAGTATCTCCCGCCCAACCCATGCAACAGCCGAGAAAAAGAAGACGATTGAGGAAACAGTCCCATTCCTGATTCTGTTGCAAGGAACAGCTCGCTATTGTGGTTTCTATATTCATGGAGACTTCTTGCAGAGCTGTCCTCTGTTTTGTGGCCCGAAGATATACCTTCAGAATTTCCGGCATATCCTGAAGATAGCGGACCCGGTTCTAGATGATTAGCGGATCCAAATCGAGCTTGTCACATTGCAGATTCACGACATATTGTAGCTATTTGTTGGATAGTCAATATATTGTAAAGCAAAAGATCTATCTGCGATAATGTGAGTGTAGTGTAGTTAATGGAAATGACAGCACTTCCTGATACTGTACATACGCTGGTTAGTCACTCTCTAGTCGGAACCATCGCGTCCGCGTGTTGGGAAAGAGGGCCCTCAGTTTCTTGTCTGTCACTTTCCTAGATCCCAGTCATTCTGCCGCCGGTCAGGGTCCAAAGATAGATCGAGTAAGGTGGACCATACCACCCGCATTAATACTCATTGGGCCTGCTTACTCCAACTTCCCTGTTGAAGGCATCTGGTTGAGGGCTCCTAGAAGACGCCGTAGACAGGATACAAATACACCCGTGCTCCCCAGGCTACTTACCCCGACTAGCAGGATGCCTCCAGCGGCATCCCTCTGGTATGACCATACTGCAATCGCGCTGCCCAGTTGGCTCGTACGGTGACTGGCTACTCGTCCCCGAGACCATTCTTTCCCTTCGATATGCTCACATTCAACAGGGTTCCATGGTCACACTTCGCTTCCCACTGGTCTTGCAAGCTCGATCCTGGGTACCCATGCACCGACGTGCTGACAATCTCGCGGTTATTAATCTCATTCTGGCATGGACAGGTTTGATCTTCGGCCCCCCGCATGTTTTCTGCGGATTGGTTGATCGGCGGTAGCATGAATACATTGATAAATTGGCTGGATGCTGGTCATCCACTCCGCTCTCTTGGGAGCTATTGCTATCCTGAATGATGACCAACCGGTGCCAGTCATATGACAGCACTACGTTCCTTCTGGTGAGATACCACTCACCATCTTTGGAAATATCCGGTGTGGCATATTTCCCCGTACCAATCATGTATCTAATCAAAAACAAGCAGTATGTTTCATGATCTTGATCCTTTCCGTGACGTTGCATGTGGTTGTTTGCCAGTACCCGCAGCTGGCGGTAAAGTGCCACTATCACTTGGGGGTCAACCGGTCTGGCTTCGATATCCTACCATGTCTGGATGCGTCGATCAAAATGCCTCTAATATTTGGTGGCTGCAGTGGCACTATGGATCGTCCTGAGTGCAGCTTCTTTAACTGTCCCCCTAATGAAGTGGGGGACGCTTCTGGCCTCCTATTGTCATATTCCCGGGCCATGAGCTTCTGAGGATGAACACCACCGTTCCCTCTCGGTGACAGGTTGAGCCGGGCCAATATGTGTACCTTTGGCTCCCACATGCCACATGCAGGTATGTGGATTGCCGGCCAACTGCTACTTTTTACATCGCATCCTGGAAAGAGACGGCAGGGCCGGAGGATTCACCAACGCAAACCCAGGGACCGTAGCACTTTACGAGTCTGGAGTGCACATTAGGAGAGGCAGAAGCATTGGCTACAGTTACAAGCTATCGCTGCTACATGTGCTAGTCCGCCCGCAGTCTTCAGCACACGCAGCTGCGCTTTATAAAACTAAACGACTTTACAACGTGCGAGAGACCGCGCCCTTGCTGGGACTATACGGGAGACCGCATGACCTTGCTCGTTTACGGACCGTGCTTCTCATCGCAGAGGATGGCGAGATTGCTTGAGAATTCTCGCTCACTCAGACACTTGCCCTAGTGAGTGGACTGTACCACGCCGTGGTACGGAAGCCCCTCGTTGTCTGGAAAATGAAAAACCTAGGTACCGCGCTTTCGCAGCAATTTGTCGTTATCTTCCATAGAACGGTGGACTGAGCTAACAATGGCTAGATAATTGCCGTTAGGTGAACAGGCAACATTTGCTTGACCTCGATCGCCAAGATCGCCAAGAAGTCAAGGTACCACGACAGTCGAGCAGACAGCCGTTCATAATCTGACCGTGATATATGCGCCAATGCTCCCTCTACTACTGTCAACCCCGCAGAGCCCTCCCATAAACCCGGTACTAGGCTCCGATCCATCGAAGGGCCACTAGATGTAGCGCAGGCTATAAGGGAGTGTCTAAATACACGTCCAGTATGTTTGTAGGCGGTATGAACACTTTTCGAAGACCGGAGAAGGCGGATGTCTCCGGCCAAGCTATACTAACGGGTCATTCGTCTACAGGGGGTGTCCGACAGTCTATCCGCAACCAGGTCAAGGCGATCGTTCAGCCACAGATGAGCGATGAGCTCAGGCTACTGGATAATGACGTTGAGCCGTGCCATCAGTGGTTGGGCACTGACATAGCGGCCGGTGTTGCCGGGCCGCCCACGAACAACCTCAAGTGGGTCGTCTCCAGAATAATTAAGAGTCGTGATCATTCCAAATGACCGATCTGCAATTGGCCGCTTGTTTGACGATAAATTATGCATGTTGATTGATTCGATAATCTCCCTAACTGTCCTTATTCTACGGACGCTCTAATACCAACATGGCTGGCATCGGTTACTTGTGCAAACCGGTCACCCCGGGTCCATCCCATGGCCCCAGCCAGGTAGCTCCGGAATCGGGTCCAGAGTACTCGATTCTTTTGACATCTTCGTGTCTGCGCAGCCCGTCCGACGGCGAGAGCATACCCCTAACGCAGGATACGCTATCGGATCGTGGTAGTGTCGACAATGGTAAGACCGTGAACGTGTGCCACCGCACCCTCGGCACCGTAGCCGGTCAAACGGCGCAGCCGACGAGGCTATATCCCTGGCGCAACTGCGAGACATAGATGGAGGCAAGCCGGTCCTGGAATCATGGGAGGGTGGTTTATGTCTTTCGCTTCGCTGGTTGACGGTGTTGTCTCGTTTTCGGATGCTAGGTTCGTCAGGCCGGATGTCAGCAGGCACTTCGATGTCTGATTCAGCAGCATATACCTCGAAGCCTGGGAATTATGCGCCCCAAGTTGGCATATAATCCACATCCACGTACCGCTTAGCCAGTTCATAATGTTATTGCGGTGCAGATTGACGCAACCGATGGCCCCGTCCTTCCGGTTGGGAGCCATTCATATTGGATAGTCTGCGGGGGATCCGTAGATGACAATTGGCCCAGTTATTCATCTTTCCCCTGCGACAGATTACAGATTTCGTGACTTTGTCTCCCGGGAGATAAATGGATGCCCAATTTACCAGGTAGGCGAGGTTATCTGCGTAGATATATTGCTAAGCATTCAACACCCACCGGGTATTGGGTAATAAATGAATAAATTAGAACCAATACGCAAGCCCATGAGACGGGTGATTTGGTACCTGGGCATTTGATCGAGGGCATGGTGGTTGTTGCTCCCAACACGCTGGCGTTCCATGAAGATGGTCATCGTGTGTGTGTGTGTGTGTGTGTCCCCTACAGAAGGAGCTTGGATATGCCAAATCCTGAGGTAATCAAAACGCGCTGCTGCGTGATATGAGGTAATGGGACCAGCAGAAGTTTCTAAATGGACACACTTAACCTATCCCCCCAAAATGGAATTTAGACCCGTAATTTTGTTCTGGACATGTTCGGATTCTGGGATGGACCTAAAGTTGTACTCCCTGGTCAAGTTCCCGAAAAGGATTAGTGGTGCTGCCTTCTGGTTCCAGGATGAGAAAACAATGGCTGAAAGCCACGATCGGCGGGCTACGGGTGAAGACAGAAGACCCAGCAGTTTGTTATTGATGGCTCCCCGGTGTGAAGGCCGGTCAATGGGGAATCCGCATGGAGCAAATTGAATAAGACCAAGGAGCATTTGCAAATGGTGAGTATGATGGGTATGTTTACGAGAGTCTGGCTGTGCGGGTAAGCTAGAGAATAATTGCTTGGATCTATTTCAGTATGACTAGAGGCATTCATCATGCCGGCAGAATAAGACCAACCAAACACAATATCCAGTAATTAAAGGGAGGATATGAAGATTTTGTGTGCATAGTAAGTCATTTCAAATACCCGCATAAATCACGCCCGAACACCATTCATTAATCACTACAACATTGGGCAATTGCTTGGGCAAGGTGGAGTGGGACTGGGGATTGTCAGAAATGCCCGTCGTTTGCCCGTTTATCTTCAACTGCAGCCGTCTTCCGAGCATCAGACATGGTTATTCGCGCGCGGTAGAATATCCCGCTGGTATGTAGCAGTAGAATTTACGTACGCGGCTCGGTTACTCGACGAGTATCAGTCAAGCGTCCGGACCGTGAGGAGATTGTCACTGGTTCTTTTCGAAGAGAGTATAGATAACCGACGATGTCCAGCCAAAGGGTTAAGTCAAAGTGCGTCATCGGAACAAAATGATGCCCGAGCAAGTCGCGGAGAAACATCAGCGTTTCTGGAAAATTCTAGATAGCTTCTCCAGCTGAGTAGGTTTGTTAGCAATGTCGATCGCGGGCAGTGAAACTTTAACTTTGAACTGCGAGGCTGGGCGGGAAGGATTTGTATGCAGGCGTGCCTTATTTAGGACAGTTGGGATTGAATCTCATTTTAGAAAAGAAGGATTGTTTTTCTAATATCCTCTGGTATTGCTATACAGCCTGTGTTGCCCTGTCAGCTATATAGTGGGAGACATGTCTTCATGGATACCGTATATTTATGATCGTGATCAGAAGTGACTACCATGTTAACTTTTACAAAATCAAGAATGCAAGTGGCATCGCATCCTCTGTTGACTGAGCAGGAGTTACTCCTTGTTCAGAAAGAGACGGAAAAAATACTCGGCTACAACTTCAGAAACACTTCACTCTTGATAGAGGCTCTCACCACACCTGGTTCAGAAGGAGAGGATTTCCAAGGACATCGGTGGCTAGGAGATTTCGGCATTGATGTAATTCGTTCCTGCGTCACCCTTGATGCATACCAGAAAAAGGCAAAGCCGAGTAAGTCTGTACGAGGGTTTTCTGAAGCATTCAACTCTCCAACAGACGCCAGGTGTTACGGCCAATATAAAACAGCGGATATGCAGTTATCCTCATCTCAAAATCGTGGCTGAGCGGACAGCCTTGGACAAGCGCATCATCTATAATCCGAGATCCGGAAAAGGTCGGCCCATTATTGTCGGAAAAGCCCTTGCTGCTATTATTGCTGCTGCACATCTAGATTGTGACAAGGACTACGAAAGAACGTGGGAGATCATGAGGCATATAGGGTGAGGCCAGATGTTGGTTACCGTTTGCATTCTAATGTACTGTCTTAGATTGATGATTGTTGATGAAAATAGTGGTATTGACCCCGCACTTCTTGAAATCAACGCCCGAGGATTTTCCGGGCAAACACCTGCCAGTATGCCACATGGTGTGAATGAAAATATGGGATCCATCGATACCTATTTACCGGAGGGCACAGGTCAATCTGAAGCAAGTGATCGCCAGCCAACAGAAGGCGGTGATGGCTCATCCAACTTCGGTTTGGCCACTGAGGAGGCTCAAAGTAGCTTGCCGGAAGAGTCTTTAATGGAGCAACAGGAAATGGCAAGGACCAGGAAATTGCCCCAGAGCTTCCCCACCGACTTGCAACAAAGAAAGTCACGTGCACCAAGAGATGATAGAATAGCTTCATACCTTGAAGCAGAAGGAAGAAAATGTGATTCTTTTGGCCTCCCGTCTCCGACAGACACTTATTATACGAAACACATTGAGTCAGAGTTGATGAAATGTGCCGATCTTCGAAACGCCAAAATCAGCCAAAGAATACTTCTCTGTATTGGAAGCACAGATTCGTTAGTTCTTCTCCGAGATGCAATTCAGGGTTGGCGATCAGGAGCACTGTCCTGGCCAGTGCTGCCCCAACAGAGTCTGAGAGGGGCTGAGCCTTTCAGAATAATCGAAAGTAACGCCCAGGATATCGCATACCGTTTAGTACAGCAGAGGTACTACACCCTGGCCCTCTTTGATAAGTGCGGTGGCGTCGATACACCGTTTACGACTGGATTTGTGTCCATGGAGAACAATGAGGATCTTGGGAGCAGAAGGTCTGGGAATCCCTTGAACAATATAGAGGCCGACTTGTCCAAACGCCTATTAAACGAGATTGCACCTGGGCTTGATCCAGGTTCTCCAGCGTATATTCACAAACTTAATGTCATCAAATCTTATCGGACCCGCGGCAGGAGATATCACAAATTAGCGATCAACTTCGGTCCAGGAATACTCGCTTTGATACCTTCAACCGATCAACTCACACAGGACACTATGGGCGTAACGGAAAGCGAGTAAGTGCGACATTCCGGGAGAAATCATGTCTAACCGAGGACTTTTCAGGCTCTCACGACTTCCTGAGACTCTCTTCTCAAAGCTCATCGAAATTCTCAAAAGGACACAGTTCTCAGCATTAGCACGGCTTAGTGGCATGGCATGGGAGATTCTGAACAGAATGTATAATTGCTCGGCAGGCCGATGCGGGAAGTTTTATCTGGAGGATAAAGAAAATAGCGAGATTCTCAGATACCCCAAGAACTCGACGATCTTACTGGAATCACTTGGCTTATCACCATTTGTGCCCTAGATTCCATGAAATAATGGGCTAATACGCGTGTGGACTAGGAGAATGATGTTCAGGAACTTTGAGTAGTCTTGCTTTCTGCCACATGCATTGATGGGCATCACGATTTGGGTATGTTACTGTTCAATACGAGCTCGGTGACAATGTAGTTTCACTATATACTCCTTCAACGGTTAACTATTCAAAAAGAAAGTAAGAAAGATAATGATTCAAACTTACGATTCATGTTCTAAAATCTAAATCATCACTGACTGGCAACGTTCGAATGGTCAGTCACTCAAACTCTCTTCTGCTAGTAAATTTTCTTCTCGAAAAAAGAATATATGAGGCAATGACTACAATTTACACTCCATATACCTGAGATATTGATGGAGATGTAACAGTTGAAACAAGTTCAGTTTGGACGGATAGTGATGACAAGTATAATGTCAGCGTACGGATTCAGTGAATTGGTATATATGAGACCTATAATCACACCACAGCTGTTCATCTATTGGCAGATTAGCGGTCGACAGGGCCGCGCCTTTGATTACTGCACGGCTTTTGCCTTTGTGCGCTGTTTCTGTAAGCTCACTTGGGTTTATAGATCTCATCTGGGAAGTAAAGTTTATTTAGCCAACATTCAATCATTCGCGTTTGATTTTAGAGACGACAGGCGGCATTAGGACTTACATTCAGTTTTTGTTCTTTTTGTTTGGCCCACAAAATGCCCTAAAATTGGCTTAGACATTGGCGGTATAGCGCGTTTCCATAGCCCATGAACAATATGCTGTGACTGGACAATACAGCAACCTAAAGAGGAGGTTCATTTAGCCCGACAATGTGGGAATTACCTGGAATATTACGCACAATAAAGCAGAAATGTTATGTGAGAAAGCTGGTGTACATAGGCCCAAGATCTAGACACAAGTCCTAAAGATTTAGGCTTAGTTCTTTCCAGCCATAGCAGGCATGAAGAGACAGATTCCATGTCCTGAGAAGATTTGAATGGACAGCAGATGGTGCTACGCTCTGAGCTTTGTACGCCGTTCTGCTCGTATGATAATCAGCCACCATCTATTCATATTGGGTGCCTCGTTCTGGGAGTGTGGTACGCCACAGTCACTTTGCATATCACTACTACGCTGAAAAAGGCTGTATGCCTAAGCCTGAAGGGCGACACGTGCCTCTCGTATCCTTTGGTGTTAGAATGGCGATTTTCGCACTAACTCTCTTGCTCAAGCAGATTGGCCGTTTCATGATATCGACTCAGCTAAAAATTTT